CCCGGCTAGTTTTTTGTATTTTTAAGTAGAGACGGGGTTTCACTGTGTTAGCCAGGATGGTCTCGATCTCCTGACCTCGTGATCCGCCCGTCTCCGCCTCCCAAAGTGCTGGGATTACAGGCTTGAGCCACCGCGCCCGGCCAGAAGGGACTTCTTAATGTGAAGTTCCTTTCACATTAAGAAATGAGGATGCATTAAAAGAGAGGCCGGGGCTAGTCAATGAGGATGAAGGGGCTGTCCCGTGTGGCACATCTGGCCACTGATGTGTGTTTCCCATGTGGAATGGCCTTCAGCTTTCAAGCTCCAGATCCAGCAGGGCCCCTCTCCCTTGCTGAGCACTCAGCCAACAGGGAGAAGAGGATGCTGGAGGCTAGAGATGAAGAGAAGGGCACAAAAGGGCAAGCATGGCGGAGAGTGCAAGCCAAGCAGACGGGTGTGCAGGAGAGGGCATACGTGTGTGGTGCCTCCGGGAGGGGGCCCGACAGGTGTGGAGGAGAGGGCATGCATGTGTGGTGCCTCCAGAAGGGGCCAGACTAGGGGACGGTGGACCCTTCATCTGAGACACTTACACATTTGACTGTTGCTCAGGATACTGAGTTTCATCTCAGCTAAATCAGCCCAGGCTTCTCTGACAGCACTGACTTGTGTGCTCACATGGCCACGTGGGAGCAGCTTGGCGTAAACGTCAGAAAGAGCAGAGCTTTGGTGAAACATCCCCCACCTGTCTCTCTCCTGACAATTTCCTGCCTGACTCCAGTCTCTCGAGCATGAGGAGCTCTTAGATAGGGCAGGCACCTGTCAGGGGAAGTCCAAAATGATCTGGTTGAAATGAAACAGCCAAGAAAGCCCTTAGCATTCGTTTTGCACTTGGGCTGAAAATTCTCCTTTCGGGAGTCTGGAGCAGGGGTGCTGGGAGAGGCGTGGAGAGTGGCAGCGAGGGGCCCCAGAGAGCTCTATGCTGTGAAAGCACTTCACTCTTCCCTCTGCTGATTCTAGACCAGACTTAGAAGAATGTCATGTATTCTGTTTTGTATCAGGACTTTAGTCAAATAAATGTAAGGCACCTGTCACTGGTCCCTGGGGTTGTCTGCTGCCCCAGAGATAACCTAAGGAGAGACTGTGGGACCTTCCTTCCCTCAGACAGTCTTGGTCCTCGACCTGCCCTGGGCCCTCACTTACCACCTGACATGCCCTGGTGCCCTCCACACCCTGTCATTCATTCTGACCCCCTTGCCTGGTAGCTTTGACACACTTCCCCTGTGCCCCTCAGCCGGCAAGCAACATCTCGTCTCCATCTTCCCTTTCAGAAAATGCTGTTTTTCTTCTCTCCCTCTCACCCTGTAGGTTATTGCAGCTGACTGCAAAAGGGTCACAGTGCTGAAGTATTTTCTGGAAGCCCTTTGTGGACAAGAAGAGCCTCTGCTGGCATTCAAGGGTGGAAAGTATGTGTCAGTGGCACCCGTCCCAGACACCATGGGAAAGGAAATGGGAAGCCAAGAGGGAACACGACTGGAAGATGAGGTACTATGCAGGAAGAGCCCGCTGTGGCAGAGGGAAGGCCCCCTCCCCATTCTACCCGTGGCTTCAGCTTCTACTCCTGCTTATGTATGAGCACAGAGAGCAGTGTCTGTGTTAATGTGACCAGCCACCTTCTTGAGAGTGTGCTCTCCTGGTGCCCCTTCCTGCCAGTCCACCCCGGTGCCTCCATCCCACTCCGCTACGAGTTCCAGATGCTTCTTTTAATGCTGCATTGAGGAGAAGGGAGGAAAAGAAAGAAAGAAGGAGTTGAATAATGTGCAGCTCTCGAGGCTTAGGAAAGGGAGAGAGAGGAGGGGTCAGGATCAAGTTTATAGATGTGTGGAGCCCAGTGCAGCACAGGCCTGAACTCCAGCCTGCAGCACACGTACAGGAAGAGCTGACATTGCTGGCCCTGTGTGGAAAATCACCCCTCCCCCGGCCTGCCCTCCCTCCTTGTTCCCTCCCTCCCTCCTGCACATCCTGATGTGATTAAGGAATTCTCCTCTTGTTTGTTTGCCCTTGGTTGTTCCTGTAGCCCTTGCTTCACTCCAGACTCGTTGAGTGTGTCTGTGTGTGTGTGTGTGTGTGCGCGCACATGCATGAGCCTGTGTACCCGCCCCTGCAAAACTCCACTGGCAGTTGCCCTGCCCTATATATTGCTGTTGCATATATGTGTCTTTCTGGGGGTGATTGTTGATGTGGGTTTGTGTGTCAGTTTGAGTAAACACTGCTGCCAGCTTCCCTGCTGTCTGTGGGTTCTGAGTGGATGTGAGTGTGATGTTGTTGGAGCATGTATGCATTTAGTATCACTGCCAGCTGCCCTGCTGTGTGTCTGGGTGTGGGTAATTCTGTCTGGGTGTGTGTTCACACACACCTCACTTTTGCCTGAAGGTTGACTCTTTTTACCACACAGTGTTAAAGACAGGAGACTTAGGTGGGAAGGAACATGGGACTAAGGGAAGGGACGGAAGCGATTCTAGCCAGGGGCCAGGTCACCCATAGGCCAACACAGTCATTTGGCCCGCAGCAGTCTCAAGCGCCCGGTAGAGCAGGGCGGGGTACAGGGATGAAATCAGCAACAGGCCAAGGAAGCCAGATGTCAGCTGGAAGCTGTCGTTTGTGATCTGAAACAGTGATAGAGCAGCCACCTTTGGATCAGAGACGGAGAGTAGCAGAGTCTTGGACTGGCTTCATTAGAATAACTGGAGAGCCCCACCCCACCCCTGGTGACATAGAACTCAGCTTCCAGGACAGAGGTGGTTCCAGGGATAAAGCTGAGCCTGGGATTCCAGACTCTCCAGAGGAAACCTGGGCAGGGAATAATGGGAAAGAATGAGCTGTTAGCATGGGAGGGGACAGCAGGCTTGCTGAGCTGGCAGGGTGTCCAGGCTTCAGGCAGGGCAGAGCAAGTGCCACCCAAGCCCTGGGCACTGTGTGGGGAAGCACCGGTGGGCAGTGCCTCCATCAGCTATTTCACCCACACTTGAAGGCTGAGGGCAGAGCCAGGTTAGTCCCAGGCTTGCCCCAAGATGCCCTCTGGCCAGTGGAGCCTGCAGTCCCAAATACAGTGAGGCAAGTGGGGCCCAGAGAGGGCCACAGCATCGAAGCCAGAGAAGGCCTTCTCTGCCCTCACAAGGAACAGATCACTTCTCTGGTCCCAGATCTTGGTAGTGCCACACTTTTTTTTTCTCGTTCTAAGGCTTATTGACCAGACAAAGGTTGTGACCCACGCCAGGCTGCCCACTTCTTCCTTTTCCCACGAGTCTCCTGGGTTCCTTCATGTTAGTGGCCTCTGGGAAACTCTACTTACCCTAGTCTGTGTAATTTCATAACCTTGCACTTCCTCGTTTACTGTGAGAGCTGAGCGAACCTCAGACAAGCCTCTCTGACCCTGTTTTGACCTCCATCAAGCTCACTTCAAGCCCCGTGATAACCTTGTATATCCCTAGTCAGAGCAGGCAGAGGCAGTGTTTCCCCACGGGCTAGGCTGGCATTCTGTCCCACTCACTGCAGTCTGGGTTAACCCCATGAACAAGGAAGTGAATGCGCAGTTTTCCTCCTTTCCATGGTCTGGGCCTCCCTGGATGTGAGTCCTGTGGCACTGTAGCATGCCTGTGTCAGATGAATGGTGACTGTGGACAACATCCCAGACCCCTGACGTCTCTTAGGATAGTGACAGTTCTGGCCTCATCCTCAGATCTCATCTCTCCCCAAACTGCGAAACTGAATCACTTCAGCAGATTGGGAGAGGTAGGGAAAGGTGTTTCTTCAGACATTGTTCTTTGTGAATAGAACACAGTTTAGTTGCTTCGGGGTGTTACCCAAACACCCCTAGATTCTGCTCCGAAGACAAAGTATACCTCTGTCATCTACCCAGCCCCCCACCTAAGTAATCCCTTTCAGTCAAGCTGGACAGTTAGGGGAGAGAGCAGTCTGTACTCAACAGGTGTAGGGTGGCCTACAGCAGGTCTAACAATGCTGAGCCACTAAAGGCTGGATCTGAGCTTATGGTCTAGATTCAGGATGGCTTGGCTCAGTATTACTGGTAAGAGCATAAACTTTGGAGTCAGATTCACTTGGGCTTGAATCCCTGCTCTGCCTTTACTCGCTGTGTGACCCTGAGCAAGGTGTTGACTTCTGAACCTCAGTTTGTTCATGTATAAGATAGGGATGGTGATAGCACATATCTTATCTCACAGGGCTGTTGTGAGGATTAACTGAGTTAATACATGAAAAATGCTTAGCCCAGTACCTGGCCAATAATAAGCACTGAGTAAGTGATACCTGTTGTCATCATTGTCATTACTATAATCCAGTTAGAAACAGGAACCTTCTACTAAATTATTCCCCGTGTACCCATGCTGACCCTGTCCCTCAAGGGAAACTATCTTGGGCAGCTGCATGTTCTCTGTTGACCAAGGCCAAAAGTAAGAAAGCAAGGAATGGAGCCTAGGACCACCCAGGGAGTGATGGCTGCTAAGAGCTGAGGCTGCAAGTAGGGAGGTGCCATCCCTGGGGAATGCACCACCAGCCTGGCAGGAGACTCCTTAAGCCACCCAGCCACCTCCTACCCTGCCCAGGCCCTGAAGGGCAGCTGAGCAAGGTCATGTCGTGTGAGTTGCTGTAAAGGGGTCCAGCAATCCTCACACCACCGGGCTGGAGTCTTAAAAAGAAACCAGGGCAAGGTCTGCTGAGCTGCAGCATCTGTCCCTGGTGCTGTCTGGGGCAAGGGAACTTCTACGCCTGATTCCCAGCTGTTGGCTAGAGTTGATTCCTATCAGATCGTTAGCATGAATTAGATTTAAATTGGGTGGTTTAACTTTCTCTATTGTTTCCCTCTTGAATCATTGGTGACTTCAGAATGAAAATAGGCCTAAAGTTTGACTTTGTGAGTGTGTACGAGGGAGAACACAGAGTGTGAGTACAAGCACGCAGGT